AGGAGGGCGCCAATAGGTAGGATGGCCAGTCATCAACATTCAACAGGAGGGCGCCAGTATGTGGGAGGGCCCCGAACAACGTGAGGGCGTCAATGATCAGAAGGGCGATGACCAGCAAGAGGGCGCCAATAGATACGAGGATGGCAGAAGGTCGGGACACCGATACCAAACCAAATACCAACAATGATCATGTGAAAATACCGAAACCGAACCGACTTGGGAATATGAGGAAAATACCGACTTTTTACCAAATTCACAACCTCTTTTACATTATTGAGGATTCATAGTGCCAACAAAATACCAAATAAATTAGCCTTGAAATACCAAATACCAAGTTGGTATCGGTTTGATATCGGTATACCAAAAAGTTGGTATCCGATTGACATATCTAACATGGAAGGCCTCCCATGTGCACGGCGGCCTCCTGCATACGTTTAGTTCCTCATCCGTTCAGGGGACCTCCTCTGTACTCGGAAGGGCCTCCTCTGTACACTACGCGCCTCCTCTGTACATGGAGGGCCTCCTATGTGCAAGGGGGCCTCCTTTGTATCCGTCACGCATCCGCTTTAGATGGAGGGCCTCCCTGTGCACGTGGGCCTCCTGCGTAGCTACGTTTCGTTTCTTCTCCGTTCAAGGGGCCTCCTCTGTACTCGGAAGGGCCTCCTCTGTATACTACGCGTTTTCTATGTGCATGGAGGGTCTCCCATGTGCACGGGGGCCTCCTGCGTATGTTTCGTTTCTCCTCCGTTCAGGGGCCTCCTCTATACTCGGAAGGGCCTCCTCTATATACTACGCGCCTTGAAGCCTTCTCTGTGCATGGAGGGCCTCCCATGTGGACGTAAACCTCTTCTGTATCCGACACACTTCCGCTTTAGATAGAGGGCCTCCCATGTGCACGGGGGCCTCCTGCGTACGTTTAGTTCCTCATCCGTTCAGGGGGACTCCTCTGTACTCGTAAGGGCCTCCTCTGTATACTACGCGCCTGCTCTGTACATGGAGGGCCTCCCATGTGCAAGGGGGCCTCCTTTGTATCCGACACTCCTCCGCTTTAGATGGAGGGCCTCCCTGTGCAAGGGGGCCTCCTGCGTACCTACGTTTCGTTTCTCCTCCGTTCAGGGGGCCTCCTCTGTATTCGGAAGGGCCTCCTCTGTATACTACGCATTTTCTATGTGCATGGAGGGCCTCCCATGTGCACGGGGCCTCCTGCGTACGTTTAGTTCCTCATCCGTTCAGGGGGCCTCCTCTGTGCTCGGAAGGGCCTCCTCTGTACATACGCGGATGGCCTCCCATTTGCACAGGGGCCTCCTGCGTACACATAGTTCCTCCTCCGTTTCTGGGAGGGCCTCTCTTTGCAGGGACTGGGAGGGTCTTCTGGCACAGCAGAGCCTCATCTTAACATTGTAGAGTGACACTCAGGAAACCTTCTTTTGCATAAAAGTGCCATTTTTTGCACGGAAGCCATTAGCCTCTTTCAAGCATGGCTGGTCCTAAAAAAAACGGAATAGAGGGCCTGCGGCCCTCTATTCCGAGCAAAGGGCCTCCACCCAGAACAGGGTGGGCAAAAAGATAGTTTTGCCCACCCTGAGATTTTTCAGGGTGGGCAGCTGCCCACCCTGCCCCCCGGAATCCGCCGCCCCTGCTATGTCGACCGTTTAACCCGTGCCGTGCTGGGGGGGGGGGGGGGACGTTTTACGCACCCCTCAGGTTTTTCGCGAATGCCTATCTCAAAAACGGCGATGCGTAGCGCCGCTGTTTCAGATACACCTGTTCCGACATCTTTTCCGCACATGTTATGAAAATTTCAGACCCCGGTCATTCAAGGTCAGGTCACCAGGTAACGTGACCTTACCTCAGAAAACGTGCGAAAGCTCGCTGTAGCTACACCGACTGAGCGATCACTTTGAAACTTTCAGTACTTGCTTAGAGTAGCAGTATGTATAAAATGGATATCTCGGATTTTTTATATCTGTGACCTAAGGTCAGGTCAATTTTGCGACTGCTCCATTATCAGTCAATGGGAGCAAATTGAAATGCGCCTCTTTTGGACGAATGTCGTTCTACACCCTCTCAAACATCGGCTCATGGGTAAACATGACACACTGAGTCGGAAAATTGCACCTGTGACCTCTTTGTGTGCCCCTGAGGTCATCTCAGGTCATGAAAGGTCCTCAGCAGTTTTTTTTTTACTATAACTTTTGACGGAGACGTGCTAGAGCGGTGAAAACTGAAAACGCGGGGCTAAACCGTTGATCTGAGGTCAAATTTGAGGACAAATTGTCCAAAGAGTTTTAAAAGCGCTATTGAATGCGCTTTTCCGCGGCGCTGTAGCTCTATTGGTTCCCGAGTTAGCCGTCGGGTATTCAAAATCGTTGAAATCGACAAAATTTGACCTTTGATGACCTCTGGTGACCTGACCTTTGCCCTGACCTTAAAAATGACCGAAGTGTTTTTCTCCTTATTTTTGACGCTCTTTCGATTGCCGCTTTCTCTCTCTCTCTCTCTCTCTCTCTCTCTCTCTCTCTCTCTCTCTCTCTCTCTCTCTCTCTCTCTCTCTCTCTCTCTCTCTCTCTCTCTCTCTCTCTCTCTCTCTCTCTCTCTCTCTCTCTCTCTCTCTCTCTCTCTCTCTCTCTCTCCCTCTCCCTCTTTCTCTCTCCCTCTCTCTTTCTCTCTCTCTCTCTATTCCTCTCTCTCTTTCTCTCTCCTCTCTCTCTCTCTTTCTCTCTCCCTCTCTCTTTCTCTCATCTGTCTCTCTTTCTCTCATCTGTCTCTCTTTCTCTCTCGCTTTCTCTTTCTCTTTCTCTTTCTCTTTCTCTTTTTCTCTCTCTTTCTTTTTCTCTCTCTCTCTTTCTCTTTCTCTTTCTCTTTCTCTTTCTCTTTCTCTTTCTCTTTCTCTCTCTCTCTCTCCCTCTCTCTCTCTCTCTTTTTGTTTCTCTCTCTCACTCTCTCTCTCTCTCTCTCTCTCTCTCTCTCTCTCTCTCTCTCTCTCTCTCTCTCTCTCTCTCTCTCTCTTTCTTCACAATATTCTCGACTGCCACAGCGTTGTAGGACGTGTTTCCAGACAGGCCCAGGCGCTCCCCACTCCGCAGGCCCCAGCCCACACGGCCCAACCGCCCAAACACCCTCCGGCGGATGACCTCTGACCTCGGCGACCTGACCCCAGCCGACCGATCGCGTCCCTCTCCACGCCTCCGCCCCGCTTCCCCCACTACAGCTGCGTAGAAATTGTAGCGTGTGCAAAGGTCACGTGTCATTATTTACTTCTGCGGTTTGTTCGGCTGACAAGAGATGGCACTAGTGGTCTGTGGATCAGAGGCGGGGCTAGGTTCTACGACTTCTTGGGGCACACTTTAGGGCAGAAAAGAGGTTTTTTGGCTCCCCATCCCAAAATGCTTCGAATATACAAAAACAAGTTAGATATTCGAAAATGGGAGGACCAAATGGATCGTTTGACGTATCTTGCGCGACTGAGAATTGATCGGTCTTCAAGCTGCTGAACAAAAACGAGGTGATTAGTAGCAAGTGCTGGTGACTGTACCTAGTGGGTGGTACTTTCACTTTTGCGCACCATTGGAGGCTATCACGTTTTACATGTTGGTATTGCTTTCGTCTTTTACGTTTTGGTGACGAATAAACCTTATGTTCAAAGCTCTTTTGTTTGCATCTCGAATGCTGAATCTCATATTTTTCCAATTCTTATAGCGGCAAACGTCTGGGGGACCGGTCGGAACCCCAGTCACATGGCCCCCGATGGAGCTAGAGGTCCGATGACAAAGCGATCGTGTTGGTGTGACGAAACGAAGAAATCGATATCCTATTTGAAGTCTTAATTCATCGCTTGGCCTATCAGGTTTCATCACAGAAATCTCAACGACAGTCAAGGCGATGTCCTGTTGAAAGAAACGCATTCTTCGGTTTTTGATACACGGATGTGGAATTGCTTATTTGTATTATCGTTATTATTTGCATTATGCGATGTAATGTACCCATGCATTGGGTGTAGGTCTAGTCATTTCATCAGGGCAGGCGTCTCGCCGGACGTTCTTAGTAGGTGTCTACAAGCAAGGGGTCAGATTCGGAGTCGGTCGTCGACGGTTTTTGCACAGAATCTGAGTGCGCAATACGCATAGCTCGGAAAGGAATAAAGTTACGTAAAGCGCAGAAAAGTTACTTCTTTCAGTGGCCTTATATTTGACCTGAGGTCAACGGTTGAGCGGGAGCTTCCCGAGTCCAGATGGGAAAACTTTTCAAATTGACATTTAAAAGAAAAATGTTTCTTGGACTTTTGACACCAATGCCTGTAAATTAATTTCACATGAATCGTGTTCTTTTTGTCGAAACGCGTCGAATGAACTAAAATTTGACCGTGTCGTCTCCCCATGGTCACATGATTTGTAGAATTGGTCCAGTCCGGTCCAGGGTCGAGTGTGGGACTTTCTGAACGAGCCTGACCGTCGTGGCAGAGTTTGTACGCCACCCGACCCATCCGCCCTGCCCTCGGCTCCTCAGAATCGCTAATGAGCTCTCCGGTCACCGGTCATAGTATTTCAGCGGTCTGGCTGCCGGCTGTCCACATCCTACACAGATGGAGCTCCAGACGGGCATTCAGCTGTCGGCATAGCAGATTGCAACATACATGATCGTCAGTCGTTACGCCATTTCTCAGAGCCTGCCAGAGTCCCGTGTCTAGGCATTTCTGGGAACCTCGCCTGGTTCGACCGGACATGTTTCCGATCGATCGAATTCGCTCAACTATGGCGGACCCCCGACAGGAATTTCGGAGGGGGGGGGGGGCAGCTGATCCTCTGCCCCCATATTGGCTACGCCACTGACGGCCTCACGGCTCGTGTTACTTGAAATAATCGCTGCAGGGCAATATCGCTTTAATTGGTAACTATACGCATACGCATAGTGTGCGGACCAGTTGCTCGTGGCTCAATGGGAGCTCCATGTTCAGTGATGTATCCCGTCCCGTCTGCTGACGTTGCCGTCTCTCCTTGCAGATCTGAAGGGTCTCAGCGATGAGCAGCGTCTGGAGCAAGTCGGTAAGCGGATCTTGGACGCACTAAAAGACATCGGCTTCGTTTATCTGCTGAACCACGGCCTGCCAGAAGAGCTACGTAATTCTGCTTTCAAGTCGGCAAGCGACTTCTTTGCCTTACCGATTGAGACAAAGCTCAAGTATCATCGTTTTCAGAAGACAAGGGTCAACGGCTACACACCTATCAAAGACGAGGTGCTGTCCAACTCCGACGGTAGCCGTGACAGTGACACCCTCAGCGAGCTCAAAGAGGCGTGGGACATGATGGTCCCGGGCGAGGACATGCCGACGGCAGAGGCGCCCGTCTTCTGCCGCGATTTCGAGGCGCTCATGAGCGCGCTGTCGGCGCTGAGTTTGCGGGTGCTGGCCGGTCTGGAGGTGGCGCTCGGCCGGCCAGCGCTGCTCACGGCCAGCCACCGGCACCAGCTGGGAGCCGAGAGCGGCACCGTGCTGCGCGCCGTGCACTACCCGCCGCTGCCGGAGCCGGTGCCGGCCGGCGCCGTGCGCTGCGCCACCCACTCGGACTGGGGCAGCATCATCCTGCTGCTGCAGGACCCGTGTGGCGGCCTGGAGGTGCTGAGCCGCGCTGGCCGCTGGGTGCCGGCGCCGCACGTGCCCGGCGCCGTGCTGCTGAACGCCGGCGACCTGTTGGAGATCTGGACCGGCGGCCAGGTGCTGGCCACCAAACACCGGGTCGCCGTGCCGGAGGAGGAGCGTCTGCGCCGCGCCGACCGGCTCTCGCTGGTCTACTTCGGACAGCCCGACGACGACGCCATGGTGGTTCCGCCCAGTGGAGCCGAGCCGTACCACGCCGTGAATGCCAGAGAGTACCTGGCTGCCAAGTACAGGTCGTGTCTGCTGAAGTACAAGGAATAGCCGGAACAGCAGAGGCGCGCCCACGTCAGTCCATTTGGGTACCGTCAGTCCACGACAGTATACTTGCTCGTTGCTGTCTCCCCCTTGGCCTGGAGAACGCTCTTAACTGTTAAAATGCAATCATGCAAGCAAGCTTCCATCCAAACGCTTACACGTACATGCAAAGTGCATAAACTAGCAGGCAAGCTGAGTTATCTGGGAAGGCAAGGTTTACCAGAAATCCCCAATTGCCAGTGTATGCACTTGAGCAGTCATAATTGAAGTCCGAATCAAAATGCTTTGCTTTCCTAACCAGCCACAACCAAGAGGAAATGTTAACAGCAATGACAATAATACTATGACATGCATCATACACCAAACAATTAAGAATGGTGTGCTAAAACCCAGTTGGGCGCGAGTTATGTAATGTGTTTCAAATTATCATGCTTTTCGGTGTGTAGGTACGAACTTGGGTACGAACGCTGCATTGTACAGTTTTGAGGCTGGCGTTGTAATGTACACGCTGCTGCTGTCAGGCTGGTGTTGTATTACACACTGCTGCTGTCAGGCTGGTGTATTACACGCTGCTGCTGTCAGGCTGGTGTATTACACGCTGCTGCTGTCAGGCTGGTGTTGTATTACACACTGCTGCTGTCAGGCTGGTGTATTACACGCTGCTGCTGTCAGGCTGGTGTTGTATTACACGCTGCTGCTGTCGGCTGGTGTTGTATTACACGCTGCTGCTGTCAGGCTGGTGTTGTATTACACGCTGCTGCTGTCAGGCTGGTGTTGTAATGTACACGCTGCTGCTGTCAGGCTGGTGTTGTAATACACGCTGCTGCTGTCAGGCTGGTGTTGTATTACACGTTGCTGCTGTCAGGCTGGTGTTGTATTACACGCTGCTGCTGCCAGGCGAACAGTGCCGTGCGGTTCTGCCGAGGTCCGGCAGTTTGTACAGTTGACCGGTGCAGCCCCTCCAGGCTGCGGGCAGTTCCGCGCGGCCCAGCCAATGTCCGGCACGGCACTGACAGCTGAGCTCCGGTTCTTGATGTCAGGCCGCTACCAGGCATCATTAGTCCACCGCAGAGCTTCATTAACCCGCGCCCGGCTGGGGGTCCTGGATTTCCACGCCCTGCTGGGGGGGGGGTGTTTGAACACCCCCCCTTCTAACTCGGCTCCTGGGCCACGTAGCGATACGCGGAAGGCGGCGTTCGAAAGAGCGTCAAAAATAATGACGAAATCACATCGGTCAATTTTTTGGTCAGGTCAAAGGTCAGGTCACTAGAGGTCATTGAAGGCAAAATTTCGCCGATTTCCAGGTCGAATGTCAAAAATTTCCAAGAAGCCAACGCATAACTCGGGAACCAATAGAGCTACAGCGCCGCAAAAAAGCGCATTCGATAGCCCTATTAACGCCCTTTCTGAGTAATTCTCTCAGATTTGACCTAACGTCAACGGTTTTGCCTGCAGGGGGCAAAAACTGCAAAAATAGCCGATTTTTTCGGAAACAGTTTTTCTGCAATAACTTTTGACCCAAGCCTTGTACGAGCTTACTTTTACCGGCATCGTGTTCCTCTCGTCAAGACGCATCGAATGAACTATAACTTGACCTTGAAAGGTCAACTTGAAAATTTGACCTCAGGTCAAGGTCATGACCTGACCGGAAAGGGTCATGTTGCATATCAGTCGATCCGTATCGTCGAGCTGAACACATCTAAGGCGTTTTCATCGCTCTAGCATGCCTCTATCAAAAGTTATTTGAGAAAAACTGTTAGATACCATTCGTGACCTAAGATGACCTCAGGGCATAAACAGGGGTCACGGACACCATTTTCATGTTCAGTGTGTCTAAACCACTTGTAATTCGGTGTTTGGGAGTGTTTATAATGTCTGTCGTCCAAAAGAGGCGCATTTCAATTTTCTCCCATTGACTTATAATGGGGAGGTCGCAAAATTGACCTGACCTTAGGTCATCGATATCAAAATTCTGAGATATACATTTTGTACATGCTATTGCTCTTAGCAATCGCTGAAAGTTTCAAAGCGATCGGTCACTCGGTGTAGCTATGACAGACATTGAAACTTGTTATGAGGTGAGGTCACTTCAAGTGACCTGGTGACCTGACCTTGAATGACATTGGTCTGAAATTTTCACAACATGTGTAGAATTGATGTATGATAAGGTGTACCAAAAAACGGCGGCGCTCCGCGCCGCCGTTTTTGAGATATTCGCGAAAAACCACAAGGGGGGGTGTTCAAACACCCCCCCAGCAGGGCGCGGGTTAACAGGCCACTAACAGGACAGCGAGCCGACACATCGCACATAGGGAATTTTTACCGCGTAGCATGAATGAGCTCCTGGAGGTCAATTGCAGTTGGTCGCAGCATCCATGAAGGTTCATGCGTCATGGGAACAACCTGTATCAGTGATTCTTCTGGCAGCAGATTTTAACTCGAAACATCTGACACATGGACACAAGCAACTTTACCGCATGAAAGGCACAGGCTGCGCATTTCTTTTACAAGCTGATTTTATATTGCGTTTCAGTCGCTGGTCCACTTGCAATTCGCATTGCCTGCTATGATATATTACGCTCGGGTAGCTACAAGTAGCTTTTTTCCGCGACTACTATGCATTTCAGACCCCATGAGACCCTAATTGTTGGCGATAATTTGTTCAATATTTGTCCAATTTGCTTCAAATTTTCACAATGCACATTTCAGCTCAAGCGCCAATTTTCGCCAATATGGTCTCTTAACAAAATATCAAATTTTAGGGTACTTGTCGTTGCCTCGTAATGTTAAAATCGGCTCCGTAAATCCGTCAGTGGAGTAGAGGCTATCCGTGCGTAGGTGTGACGTCACAAACACGTGACCATTAAGCTCCGCCCTCCCGGCGGACGGGGTAGTGACCTTGGCCGGTCAGTCGACTGCGTGGAGCGGGCACGGGAGCGGGCGGGGCAGTAGCTGTCGCACCGGGGCGGCTCGCATGGACCGTAGCTGCCGTGCAGTTGGCGTTGCAGCCGTAATTTCATCGAATGAGCTAAATAGCGCGCATAAGTAACGCACCAGCTGAAGCCCTCGACTAATTGTGTCTATCACAAATGTACGTACACCTTGTTCAGTCACAAAAATTATATTTCCACACAAGATTCGGGGCTTGTGAAAAACGCGCATAAAAGACGCTGTTGATTTCAAATGATTGCGTAAGATTATGTACCTATCGCGTCAGACTACGTCAAAATTGCAAAACAGAATCACCATTAACATGATGCAATTTATGTGTTTGATATATGAAATTTGATTAGGAATGTATGCCGGCGTGATCGATTTATATCATCCCGGTGCAACTAAGCATTGAACACCTTCAGGACTAATCCATTTGATCATCGACTTAGGTTGAGGAGGTCGCCAGACTAACTTTGCCCCCAGAGCTTGTGTGTTGAAATGCAAACATGAAATGTAAAAGCCTAGAGATAGTTTACTCACCATTGAGGACATACCTACTGTTACTTAAGTTTTACAAAAAGATACGAGTTTATTGATGATCGTTCTCGTGTAGTGCCCAATGTCCGCCTGCCACATTGCTATTTCTTTTTGTGCACGTCTTAACAATATAGCACACACATGATACCGCGATAAAGGCCATTTTCTACCATACGACACATTACGCTTCTGCCCCACCCGGCACCCCGCACCGCTTCACGAATCACGAATACGGTCGTTTCGTTGGAGCAATGCCCCAGGCAATCGGCCGTGCCCGAGCTCTTCATCCTACTATGTTGCTTTCTGCGCCTTCCTCAGAAACATTTATTGGCACTGCCAAATATATCAATATTTTTGGGTTAAGCACAGGCTTACACATGATCTTATAGGTAATCGGGTAGTGACCTGACCCAACCTGACGATGAGATAGGTGCAACTCCGGCTTAAAGGGAGATTATGACCTTTTTCCACAAAATCTGAGTTAGGACCATTTTCTGACAAAACACAACAAGTTATAATGTAAATCAAAACCACTTTGCTCAATTCGGTACCTTGCCGCAAATATCTCAACTTGAAGTCACGTTAGCGGGGAGCGCTGAAAATGACCGTTGAATAAGTACTTACATCACTTTTTGGTACTTGCATGTAATTTTGTAAAATGAGCGTATTCATTACATTTGATCTTCATCACATCTAGTTAGTTAATGGTCGTCTATAGTGCCTTCAAAAGATATTCATGGTTTGGGGGTGGTTTATGTCTAAATTTACGCAACTATTTTTCCTGTTCATCATCTGTCGCCATATGCTGCTATTTTAGTAGCAACGACTCAATTTTGAATCGGTCCCGCCGACTGCACAATAAAAGAAGATAGATACAACACTTTTGCGGCATCACTGAAAAACTTATGCAGTACTGTTATCAAAATTCATAACACCGTTCGACAAACCTGAAGTCTTTTTGAAATAAATATGCTTGTATTTTTCGCTTCAGGCTCTGAGGCCAAAATAATGAATTTCGTAGTCGCAATCGCAAGATTTGACTGCGTTTCTGGCGCATGCCGTTCATTTGTGGCGCAAAATAATACTTGGAAACAAAGAAGAGTAGGCACTATGTACCCCCGAATTAGAATCTAATTAATTCTAAACCGAATTAACTCTAATTCAAATTAGAATCCTTACAACCAAGCAACGACAAGGCGATAACATAAACAAAAACCCAAGCGTCGCTGTTTGAAACAAAAGCGCCATATACTGCGACTTTTTTATAGAGAAGGACAACGCATTTCGGTGGGTGTTACAAGTACTGCAAGTACTGCTTCTTTTTGCAAAAATAAAAACCGTTTTCACATACGAAAATGTGCTAGGAAATTTTCATATTTTATAGAAACTACAGTAGAAATAGTATAGATGTCGAGTAATTTTTATTTAAGAAAAAAAAAGCTCATTATCTCCCTTTTAAATAAATGTTCAGAGTCCAAGAGTCTATCCCTCTTTCCTTCATAGGGCCGGTTCCGTTCCAATAGATCCTACCTTGATTTTGATCATTCTGAATATTCTGAGCTGGTTCGATGTTTAAATACCAAAATAAGGTGAAGAGGATACCAAATGCCCTCAAACAGATATTTTTTTTTGACGCAACTTTGCCAGCTTCCACTTGTCTCCAGTATGTGGTCCCGCTCCGACCTCTCCGCGGTGCTGACACCGACTGAAGCGGCATAGACCCATCCCGGTCACGGCCAGTGGGCGGAGTTTAGTTGGGCCCGGCGCAACGTGATTGGCCAGCGCTCCTATCCAATCCGGTGCGGTAGCGAGCGAGCCTCTATCCGGGTGCAAAACTGATTAGCATTACGAGCCAACGACAAGTGCTCTAAATTTTGATATTTTGTTAAGAGACCATATTGACAAAAATTGGCGCTTGAGCTGAAATATCGTTTGCCAAAATTTCAAGCTAATTGGACAAAAATTGAAGAAATTATCGCCGAAAAGTAGGGTCTCATGGGGTCTGAAATGCATAGTAGGTAGGCATACTCGTATACACGAAAAATTAGTTATAAAACATTTTCGATAGTTTTCTGGTATCGTTCTAAGCTGAGTTCTGTACGCGATTTCAATGTTATACGTCCAGATGACAATGACAGTTCAGGTTGTCCGTTGTTAAGACCCATTAAATTATATGCTTCTTCACGTAGTTGACCACACTTGAGCTTAAGGTCACGGTGATCTGAGGCAGGTCAAGTTTTGAGTTTGACCTATTGGAAGTCAAAGGAAACGAATACATTACTCGATGTGTATCGACGAGAGGAATGATAGATGGTGTTCTCTGATCTCTATCTTGATATTAGTTCCCTAGCTTAATATGTTT